TAATTGATCTCTCTTTTAAATGAATAAAAATAAAAAATAAACTTGTTTTTGTAAGGGTTGTATTTGGTGCATTATATCAAAAACTGATAATCATGGTTGAGATTGAAGGGTGAAGTTCTTTGGTGTCAAAAGTAATTAGGGTGTAACCACAAGCTTACTGGTCAATTGGTTTGAGTTTGGACTCCAAAGGTAAAAAGTGTCTGGAGATCCTGGTTTAAATCCAAGAAGAAAAAAAAAATTCCCTTGTAACCAGGGAAGTTAAAATGCGGTGAGTTCAGGCTACCCACGAAGCGGGTGATCGTTCTGCGATTAGTCGGCTTATATAACGAGTTGGATATCCAAGTTAATACAAAAATTATGGTTGAGAAAATAATTGAAGAAAAAACTTTGCATTTATAAAATACAAATTAATTTGGTATACAATATCAAGCATGAATAAAAAATTATCATTCAAAAAGAAAGAAACTAACTAATTTTGTGATTGTCTTATTTTAATTATTGTTAATTATCTTTCATAAAAATAATAACTTTTAAAGTTCTTACCTGATATTANCAATTTTATGATACCGACTATCATATGTACGTTGACTCACTTTTTTTAGTAGACTTCACTTTTGGTCCCTAAAGTTTAGTGGCTTCTTTGAAAGTGAGACTTGAACTTCAATAAATCAAGATGTTGTCTCTCATGTTTGGATTTTGTTTTGAAAATGGGACCTCGTCAATAACTCCATTAAAAATATCCATTAAACCCAGGGGTAAAATCGTCCAACCATGTTTTCTCTCTCTCTCTGTTTGCACTTTTCTTTTGTTTTTCCTTATTTTTGTTAAAAGTTGCCTAAAATAAGAATCAAATTAAAGTACATTATTTTTTCATGCAATTTGCCCTACATTATAAAGCATTTAAGCTAAATGCTTAAACACTGCTTTTTATGCATAAAAATACCATTTATCAATGCAATTACTTAAAATTTAAAATTACAAGTTGATTAAGTATAAGTAGTACTTGTTAAACCTCCGTGTTTGAATTCGTATAACTAACTGCAGATAAACATAAATACTAGATAAAYACTACGAGCTAAAACACTTAATTTTTATTTTTTCTAAATTATCTAAAATTTTAAAACAATTAATCCTTTTTGTAGTGACGAATCTTGTATGTGTTCCTAAGAAAAGGAATTTGTATATGGATTAAACCCTTAGGGGGCGTTTGGTTCGTAGAATGTAATTCAATGGAATTGGAATTCATCAAATGAATTTGACTTTGAGGGAAGAATTTGATGGAATTTGACCATGTCTTTTCATTGCGTTTGGTTGAATGAAATTGGAATGGAATTCTTAACCGAATTAGATTTTTTTTGTTTCGTTCACGGAATTCAACGAGAAAATTACAGGCAAAAAAAACTGAAACCGAAACTTTCGGGCTGGGTTCGAGGACGGGGCGGGGATCGGTAACAAATTCGGGGATTTTAACGGGGACGGGGGAGGGGACGGTGATCATCGGCCTGGCCCGGCCGGCCCGGCTTGATATGTGTATATATATTAATTTTAATTTTTATATATATATATATATATATATATATATAGGGAAGGGTTCAAACGAGAACCCCTGTGATTTACGAAAACACGAGAACAACTCAATAACCACATATTGTGATAAAAAATAAAATTAAAAGATTTTTAAAATTAAAATTAAAATTTAAAAAGATTCAAAAAAATTTAAAATTAAAAGGGTAATAATGGAA